AGCAGATTTGGCAGATTTGGCATATTTAGCATATATGTCATATTCGACAGGTCTGTCAGTTTCTACCGGTTTCAACGCCTTTAATTAATTAGCAAATTTTAGATTGTATATGAAAAGAATATGAAAAATTTTAATTTGATGATTAATTATAATTATATAATTAATATTACTAAAAATTAATTTTTCAATCTTTTTTTGAATTAGTTATATATATTTTTTTTAACAAAAAAATTACTTTTATTTTATTTAACATAAACTTAATACTTGAACTTATAAAAACTCTTATTAAATATAATTTTTTATTTTTATAAATTTTAATTTAATATATATATAATATCTTTTTATACAAAGATTTCATGATAAAAATTGAGCACTTTAGTTAAAGTCAATTGCTTTTCATTTCTAAGTAAAAATCATTTAGCTATTTATATATAAAATTTTATTAAGATAGAATTAAATATTCATATAGTAATATGTGTTTTTATAACTTTATTAACACTGTGACATTTTTTTTTAACTTTACAGGATAATTTAAGTATTTTAGTCAAAGTCAGTAAAAATAAGTTTTTTTGTAATTTTATTAAATAAATCACTTTACAAATTAATTTAATCACTTTAGTTAAAGTAAATTGCTTACTGCACATTAAGTAAATATGATCTATATATTCAAAAAATTACTTATAAATAAATTATTATCTCAATTAGTTTAATATTTATTAAATAATAGCTTTTCATAACTAAGGATGAGGATAGTTTTGAGTCAGTTCTGAAACTAATTATAAATTTAACATATTTTAGATTTTTTTGAGTTACAAGCCATTTTTAACAAATTTTAAAAATTGAACCAGAACTGACTTCAGACCATTTCAAAAGTCAGCTCAAAATCAGATTGTCATCAAATTAAAAGTAACAATAGGACGAATTTGTTTGATAACTAGTCAAAAAATTTTTTATAAATTGATCATCACATGATACTTTATTAGTATAAATTTAACTTAACGCTTAAAGTTTAATTTACTTAAAAAGAGTTAAAGTAAAACCAAAGAGAAACTAAAATGAAACTGATAGAACTATTCTTATCCCTATTCGTAACTGTATTAATTCTCAAATTTTTTTGTTTTTTTTAAATATTTATTTGTGCAATTTATTAAAATACTATATCAATATAAATGTATATCATAAAATTATCGCACTTATAAAAAAAAGTATCAAATAAAAATATTTAAAAATTATTACTTTGTTTTATTATAATTAATTTCTTTTTAATTTTATTATATTTTTAAGATTACATAAAACAATAATTTAAAATAATCAAAAGTTATAATTACTGTTTTTTATACAAAATTTTATTCTTTTCAAATTTATATTTAATTATAATAATTAATAAAAAATTAAAAACTTTTATTATTAGTAAAATTCCTTTGAATTTCATAAATAGTGTGTAAAAAATACTTTTAGATCTATAAGATAAATTAATATTAGTTTTTATTTTAAATTAATTAATTTTTTATAATTAATTAATTTTTTATAATTAATTACTTTTTTGTAATTAATTATTAAGTGTTAATTAATTATCAGATTGTATTTAATTACTAGATGATAATTAATTACCAGGTTGTAAATAATTATCAGCTTATAATTAATTATATAATTAGCCTAAGAAAAAGAAAGCTGAAAGGCTTGTGACTTGATGCTTAACCCAAAATAAACATGATCTTCAATTTTTGAAAGTATCAAACTAACCGAACAATTCAACATTCGGCTAGATTAACATTTAAATATGGCTTAATCTTTTTGCCTTTTTTATAGCTTAAGCTTTATAGCCTAAGCTTTATATGATATATATTAAGATAATATTATACTATCTTGATCTTAAGCTTTGGGCATTAAGCTTTAGGCATTAGGCTTTAGGCTTGCCTTATAATGAGCAGCAGGTCAATATATAGCTTTTTTTTTGTTTACATAAATACGATCATGTTCCTTTTTAATTGCACGAGAAAAAAAAAATAAAATAAACAAGATTAAAGCTAATTAAGAACGCCACAAAGAATGCTATAATTAATTTAGAAATCATACTTGTAGTCGATACTTCTATTTACCCCAATCATATGAAATATGATTCCTGGGAAATTCTTAAAAATTATTAAAAAAAAGTTTTTTTTTTGAAATTTTAAACTCCTCTACTTTTTTTTTGAACAAAGGATTAATAAAATTATCATGCTTGCGAAGCTAACCTTCATTTGTGTTATACACTCAGTTAGCGAAAAAGATTCTCTCGATTATGTAATAAGAGAAGCAATTGGTATAATCAGAAGAGAAGATAACGAAAGTTTAGATGTTAGAATAACAGCTTTTTTTTGAAAAGTTCTTCAATACCCAAATGGGTTCCTATATTCGTACCCGAAAATATATTAATATTTACAGGAAAGTACACACTTGACGAAAACCCCCTCATGATAAGCTAGAAGTAAAAAAATCTAACTTCTTTTTAAAAAAATAAAACAATAAAATAATAGAGAAAATATTTACCGTAATCTTTCGATAATTAGATAATAGCGAACGCCAGAGATTTAATTGATATAAATCAAGAAAATCTTCCTATCAGCTCCATTTCAACATTTGTAACGGGATTTGCAACTGAACCAGTTCAAAGTGACGATGAATTATTCAAAAGTATTAAGATACTCATTACCGAATTCATCAAAGGTGAAAGCTCAGGAAAAAAATTCCTCATCAAGTGCAGATATCTCAAGTCAGATAAAAGAATTGACAAAAAACTTGTGAGAGCAAGAAAAAGCTCAAATTTGATGATTACGGGGGAAATACTTTGAAACCTACACCATTCAAAAAAGCAGACCGACGAATACAAGAAGAGATATATACCAAGACCAACTCAGAAATTGCGTCATTAAAAAGCCAAACCAATCATAGTATGATATCGATTCCTAAAAGCAACTGACAGAGAACTATACTTTTACCAATTATTACTCAAAACTATCCTGACTCGAAGCGAAGACGAACTAAAAAATAGCCATCCGACATACCGAGACCGTTACATCTCAATATTCCCAAACGCCACAGAAGAAATTTGACAGAATACACAAGACCGGACTGAACAAATAAGACGAATCATGAACCTGAGATACTCCAAAATTCTAGACTAACTACTATTAAACCTAGAGAGCATCATCCCAAAAAACATAGAGAACATCTTAAGAATTCAACTCGATTCCTTAAAAATCCTTCCACCAATACTCCCTGAAAACACCATCTACCAACTACCATACGATTAATACCTCGCTATGTCCACCTTCAGATCCTTTTTAGGAAGAAGAAACGCACGAAAATACCCCTATTTCTTCATCACTAGGTCCGCCAGAACAGGAAAATTTTACCTTCTCCACCTACTTATAAACTCGTTAAAAATGACAAACTAAATTACCTCCTAATGGTACCCACCGGCATCGCTGCTCAAAATATAGGAGGAAGCACCATCCACTCCACCCTAAAATTATCTTCAACACAGACAGGTTTTCGTACTCTAGCACTTCATGACGACGAACTCAAAGACAAACTGAGAAAGATCGATGTAATAATAATCGATGAAATATCGATGGTATTCACAAAACTCTTAAATTTCATCTTAAACACATTCGTCACTATCTACCAAAACACCACAGCCTTTAGAGGTATCAGTACCATTATCACCGGAGACTTAGCTTAACTACTACCAGTAAGTGGATCCCAAGTATTTAAATCCTCAACATGGAAACTATTCCACCCACTCATCCTACACCAACCTCAACGTCAACAAAGCCAGTCTGAATTTTACGACATGCTACAAAATATACGCCTAGGTAACTTAACTGAAGAAATCTGGGAAAAGTTAAGGAACAAATATGAACAATTCGATCCCAACAGGCCGATTGAACTCCTACTCAACACAACAAATATAGTAGAATACTGTGAAACTGCAGACAAGATAAACCGACTAGTCTGCAACATCCTATCAACAACTCAAAACAAATTCATCATCTCCCAAGCCATTGACACCATAAACGAAGAACTCTGGGACCCAGATATAACAGAAAAATCCTTCAAATCAAAAATGAACCTACCATCTACCATACGACTTCAACAAAGCACAAGAGTAATGTACCTAAACAATTCTAAAGCAAGCCTCAACATCTACAACGGTACAATCGGAATCATCACAGACATCGACAAAGAGACAAACCTAGTCTGAGTCTCATTTAACGTACCAGGAGAAATCATAGACACAAACATCGAACTAACCACTAATTACTTTACTATCAATGGCAATCAAGCCAGCCGCTACCAGTTCCCAATCCAAAACTCCTACGCCCTGACCATTCATAAGACTCAGGGTCTTACCCTAAATGACATCTCCGTAAGCCTAGACGATCAAATTTTCTCATCAGGACAAGCATACGTTGTACTAAGCAGATGCCCTAATTAGAATTACGTACAAATCCCACACTCAAAAGAACCGCTTTTATAACTGACCCAGATGTCATCACAGAATACCAAAGGCTCGAAAAAATACCCAAAACTCCCCTACTGATCTAACCATACTCATAACAAAAATAACAAAAACAAAAAAAAAAATAAAATAAAATAAAATAAAATCTCCCTCCACGTCAATAAATATCAAAAACATCAAAAAACTCCGACTACAAAACCTTCTCAACCCCTAAATCAAAAAAAAAAAATTAATAAAAAAACATACCCTCTAAAACAAAACAAAACAAAAAAAACTCACCAAACAGACAAAACA